TGTCAGAGAGAGTGTCAGACATTATATGACTCCTCAGATAAAGTGGGATCTAAACTTCGGAGTTGGAAGTGAGGTTGGCGTCGTATGTGAACTTGATCTTTTAACTGCATCAAAAGTAATCATCCCAATTTATGCTGTTAATTACCACAGATTACAGAAGTACCAAGCACTTATTCCTCTGCTCATCAAGAAGCAGCACTGCAATCTGAACTCCGGTCACAAATCACGTAGTTGCTTCCCTTACTGCCGCGACTGTTTGCCTCGACATTGTTGAGGTTTGTTTACAACCCCAAACCCTCATCTCTTGATCAATGCCTTTCACTGTAAGAAGACCGTCTTTTCAGTTGAATGGATCGCATCCTCCACGATGCTATGCAGCTGGTGATTTGAGTGGATGAGTAGTCGAGTAAACTTAATCCTTTTCGACCTGGTTTTAGAACAGTTAGTACATATTTGGCTGCACATCACTGTGCAACATCTTCCTGAAGGCAGTTGTTAAATCAAAATTTATGGCCACAGACTAAGCTTTCGATGCTGCCTAAGCGAAAGAACATTTACTAATGCGTATGAAAACATCCTGCAAGGGAAATCAACATATCATGCTGCTCTGCAAGTGTGAGGGGTATAAAATAAGAACTACTTGGCTGCAGCTTAACGTTAACATGGAAAGGAGATAGTCCCTGTTCACTACAAGTTGCTGTAACAGACGGGCGTGGTTCTGCATTTATTTTAAAAACTGTCCATGCAACCTTAAAAACTACACCCGTTTGCGAGTTTTCGGGCTTAGTAATCAAACGCACCAACATTCACAGTGACAGGCAATCTTTTCCCTACGAATCAGTTTTGTCCAATACTTGTGGAATCGCTACAGGTTAGCATTATATCAAAAGGCCAATTTTCTAGCTGTTTAAACTATACGTTTAAATGGGAGTACTTGAGGAAAAAGCATGCTACCTTTTGAATGTATATGATCATTCTGCTGTCACATTGCGATATCTTGTGAATTTTGGGTGGTGCCTCCTATGTGCTCTACTTTGACTGCGATGACTGCCGGCGTTAGGAATTCAGATGAGCGGATCAATTCAGCCAATCAAGAAGCAAATCGTCTGGCACCCGCTCTCACCTTTCATTTGCCTTTGAGTGGCTTCAATCAATTGGGGTGTGGCGGAGGCGCCCTCAAAACAACGCTCAGCAATTGTGTTGTGTGAAGGCATTCCATCAACGCAAGCCTCCAAGCCAACTTTTCATCTCGTCTGTATGATTATAGCGCTTGTTCTTGTGCTCTCTGCTCTGCCAGTCACATAAGGCGTGGTGGCAAGCAATCGAAGGGAATGGCAAGCAATGCAGCAGGCATATAGAAACGATTTCATCACCAGTTGTTGAGGCTATGGTAAAGTGGTGACCCTCATCTTCTAAGCAATGACTACACCCTAACAGGAGCAGCTTTCAAATACAACGGGTCCCATCCTCTACTTTGCTATTCAATTAGTAATTTCGATTATGATTATTTAAGTGAATGTTAGGTCTGTGTCTGTGTGTGAGTATTTCTTTAGCTTTGCAACGGCTAGAAGATAAAATAGAGTAGAGGACGTAAAAGGAGGTATGGAAAAAAGGTCAGGCAGCGAGTAAAAAATTGGAAGGTGTGTATGTGACACAAGAATCCCATGCTCTGCTTCGGCATTCATTGTGATAAGACCATGTTGGAGAAGTGACTGCACCAGGACGCATTGCACGGGAAGGAAGAGAGGTGAAACTGCCATGAGGGTGCGTCAATCACGAAGAGGAGGTACGCTGGTCGGTGTCCATTTGGCATGGCGTTGCAAAACCGCTGGCGCACACGAGGCAGGGGTGAATGCCTTTGAGATTTTTGAAAGTGGGTGATATGGATCCTTACGCTTGACAGCTCTGTATAGATGTGGCTATTATTATATTTACAAAATAAAATCATCATTCAAAAGAAAGTTACTTGACTTGACTGTCACGGCATTGCCTTTGCAAAAGGTAATGTCCTGCCCATTTTGAATTTGTAAAATACCATCATGGTAAGGCACAACATTTTCTGTGTAATTTGGATGAAAGAGGTATAACACCATGAAGTCAGGCGGGTGACCGATTACTGTAGAAAGAGCGACCTGTTCCGCGACACTGCATTTTACTTCATACCTTTCCCAACGTTCACTATACCAAACGAAAATTACGTCGGAGGTCCCTACCGCAGCAAATGCATTCCTACCACTCTACACTTTTCTACTCGACACACTGAAGTTGAAGATTTGGCTTTTATGGAAGTGCCGCAAACAATACCAAATGCAATTAAGGGCTGAAGTACCAACGCATTTTATTTAATTTCCATGTAGATGCTTCCCAAAGCCCCATTTATTGGCTGTAGCTAGCAACACCCACTCCATTACACCTTTCACGAATGAAATCATTAACCTGAAAGAAGATACACTTGGTTACCTCGAAGAGTAACGCCATATGCTGTTAATTACCACAGATTACAGAAGTACCAAGCACTTATTCCTCTGCTCATCAAGAAGCAGCACTGCAATCTGAACTCCGGTCACAAATCACGTAGTTGCTTCCCTTACTGCCGCGACTGTTTGCCTCGACATTGTTGAGGTTTGTTTACAACCCCAAACCCTCATCTCTTGATCAATGCCTTTCACTGTAAGAAGACCGTCTTTTCAGTTGAATGGATCGCATCCTCCACGATGCTATGCAGCTGGTGATTTGAGTGGATGAGTAGTCGAGTAAACTTAATCCTTTTCGACCTGGTTTTAGAACAGTTAGTACATATTTGGCTGCACATCACTGTGCAACATCTTCCTGAAGGCAGTTGTTAAATCAAAATTTATGGCCACAGACTAAGCTTTCGATGCTGCCTAAGCGAAAGAACATTTACTAATGCGTATGAAAACATCCTGCAAGGGAAATCAACATATCATGCTGCTCTGCAAGTGTGAGGGGTATAAAATAAGAACTACTTGGCTGCAGCTTAACGTTAACATGGAAAGGAGATAGTCCCTGTTCACTACAAGTTGCTGTAACAGACGGGCGTGGTTCTGCATTTATTTTAAAAACTGTCCATGCAACCTTAAAAACTACACCCGTTTGCGAGTTTTCGGGCTTAGTAATCAAACGCACCAACATTCACAGTGACAGGCAATCTTTTCCCTACGAATCAGTTTTGTCCAATACTTGTGGAATCGCTACAGGTTAGCATTATATCAAAAGGCCAATTTTCTAGCTGTTTAAACTATACGTTTAAATGGGAGTACTTGAGGAAAAAGCATGCTACCTTTTGAATGTATATGATCATTCTGCTGTCACATTGCGATATCTTGTGAATTTTGGGTGGTGCCTCCTATGTGCTCTACTTTGACTGCGATGACTGCCGGCGTTAGGAATTCAGATGAGCGGATCAATTCAGCCAATCAAGAAGCAAATCGTCTGGCACCCGCTCTCACCTTTCATTTGCCTTTGAGTGGCTTCAATCAATTGGGGTGTGGCGGAGGCGCCCTCAAAACAACGCTCAGCAATTGTGTTGTGTGAAGGCATTCCATCAACGCAAGCCTCCAAGCCAACTTTTCATCTCGTCTGTATGATTATAGCGCTTGTTCTTGTGCTCTCTGCTCTGCCAGTCACATAAGGCGTGGTGGCAAGCAATCGAAGGGAATGGCAAGCAATGCAGCAGGCATATAGAAACGATTTCATCACCAGTTGTTGAGGCTATGGTAAAGTGGTGACCCTCATCTTCTAAGCAATGACTACACCCTAACAGGAGCAGCTTTCAAATACAACGGGTCCCATCCTCTACTTTGCTATTCAATTAGTAATTTCGATTATGATTATTTAAGTGAATGTTAGGTCTGTGTCTGTGTGTGAGTATTTCTTTAGCTTTGCAACGGCTAGAAGATAAAATAGAGTAGAGGACGTAAAAGGAGGTATGGAAAAAAGGTCAGGCAGCGAGTAAAAAATTGGAAGGTGTGTATGTGACACAAGAATCCCATGCTCTGCTTCGGCATTCATTGTGATAAGACCATGTTGGAGAAGTGACTGCACCAGGACGCATTGCACGGGAAGGAAGAGAGGTGAAACTGCCATGAGGGTGCGTCAATCACGAAGAGGAGGTACGCTGGTCGGTGTCCATTTGGCATGGCGTTGCAAAACCGCTGGCGCACACGAGGCAGGGGTGAATGCCTTTGAGATTTTTGAAAGTGGGTGATATGGATCCTTACGCTTGACAGCTCTGTATAGATGTGGCTATTATTATATTTACAAAATAAAATCATCATTCAAAAGAAAGTTACTTGACTTGACTGTCACGGCATTGCCTTTGCAAAAGGTAATGTCCTGCCCATTTTGAATTTGTAAAATACCATCATGGTAAGGCACAACATTTTCTGTGTAATTTGGATGAAAGAGGTATAACACCATGAAGTCAGGCGGGTGACCGATTACTGTAGAAAGAGCGACCTGTTCCGCGACACTGCATTTTACTTCATACCTTTCCCAACGTTCACTATACCAAACGAAAATTACGTCGGAGGTCCCTACCGCAGCAAATGCATTCCTACCACTCTACACTTTTCTACTCGACACACTGAAGTTGAAGATTTGGCTTTTATGGAAGTGCCGCAAACAATACCAAATGCAATTAAGGGCTGAAGTACCAACGCATTTTATTTAATTTCCATGTAGATGCTTCCCAAAGCCCCATTTATTGGCTGTAGCTAGCAACACCCACTCCATTACACCTTTCACGAATGAAATCATTAACCTGAAAGAAGATACACTTGGTTACCTCGAAGAGTAACGCCA